AGAGGAGGAAGATGAGGATGAGAAGGAGCCAGAGGAGGAGGAGGAGGAGGAGGAAGAGGGGGGGGAAGAGGAGGAGGAAGAGGGGGGGGAAGAGGAGGAAGAGGAGGAGGGGAGAATGTTGAAACCGGTAGAGGATGGACGGCAGAAGAGACAAAGCGTTGTCACCGGCAGGTTCCAAGTGATGCTGGACGATGAGACGAGACGCTTGGTCGTCTTCGACCGTAAGAAAGAGAGCATCCTCTCGGACGCTGAGGTGCTGGACGAGGGACTGTTCAGAGTGGGCAAAAAAGGGTATAGTGTCGCCATGCCGCCCGCATACGTCGGCCGTTACGTCGTGCGCCGTCTGCCAGACACCGGCGATGCCCGTCTCTTCGACACACGGACAGGTCGTCCGGTTGCCATGGCGCATATTCTGCCTAACGGCCTGGCCAGATTGCCGGATGGACGGATTGTGGCGCCAGTGCCGGTCGGGGGGGGCCGGTATCGCGTGCATCCGGTCGACGCTGAGGCTGGCGTCGAGGGGGGAGACGCTCTGGCCGTCTACGACACGCGGACGGGCGGACGAGTTGCCGACTCGGAGGTCATCGCCGGTTTGGTGCATCTGCCCTCGGGTCGATTCGTCCATCCGGTCGTGATGGCGCAAAGTCTGGTCGTCCCGGAGATGTATGTCTCGCGGGGCCGGTTTGTCGCGAGGCTGGCAGAGGGCGGGCACCGGCAGAGACGTGTCTACGACACACACACAGGCCTGCCGATCGAATGGACGATCGGCGCGAATGGCGACGAGGCAGAAGAGTCGGTCGAGATTGCCGACGTCTTCATGAATGAGGCTGGCCAGCCGACGGCAGTCGGCGCTGACGAAACGAGTGGACGTTATGTGATTCGGCGAAACGACGGCAACGGCGACGGCAACGGCAACGGCGGTCTGCAGGTCTTCGACACACGCACAGGCGCCCACCTCCCCGAGGCTCGGGTGGACGCCGACCGGCTGGTCCATCTGCCCGGACAGAAGCAGCCGGTCGCCGTCCGACCGGCCTACAGCAGAGCACGGCTGGTGGCGATTCGGACGGCGCCGGCCGAAAGACCAGTTGTCTTCGACACGCTGATCGGCGAGACGTTGCCGAGCGACTCGGCCGAGTTGCTGGCGAACGGGCGCCTCGTGAGGCTGGCTCGGGGGGGCGTCCACGGCTCCGAGGCGCAGGCGGAGGTGGTGCTGGCGGTGGCCGAAGCTGGCGATCGTGGCCGGTACCGGCGGATCGGATCATCGAGTTCGGCCAGCGGGTCCGTCTACGACCTCATGACGGGACACAGGCTCGACGGAGAGGTCAGCGCAAGTGGTCGTCTCTTTTACGTCGACGTCGACGTCGGCGGACAACGGCGAGTGGCCCTCTTCTCGGAGTCCGACCAGACACGTTACATCGTCGAGGCGGAGCGGGTGTACGACACGTGGACGGGGCAGCCGGTGCTCAACGTCGACGTCGACGTTGACGGCCTGTTCCGGTTGCCCTCAGGCGAGCTGCGATTGGCCCAGACGACAGAGTCGCCGGCGCGCCGCTACCGACTGGTGGGGGGGCGACTGTTCGACGGTTGGACGGGCCAGCAAGTCGCCTACCTCCGAAGGGAGGAGGGCGACGTCGTCCAACTGGCTGACAATCGCAGCATCCTCTTGACGCCGAGCAGCAGCTCGTCGGGCTTCGCGATGCGGCGAGGCGGCGAGGGCCGGATGAGGCTCTTCGACGTCGCCACCGGCGAACAAGTCCCGCAGGTCAACTTCACTGCGGACGCGGTGCACATCATCATTAACGGCCAACCGATCAGCATACCTCTCGCCGACTTGACCAAATCGTCGTCCAACGGCGACGGCGACGTCTACTCTACAGCTTTGCCTCTCGACGGAGAAGATGACTCAAC